CGTGCCAGCTACTCTATGGGGGGGCTTTGTGGGGGGAAACAAATCGGCCCCAGGGGTGGGCAAAAGGTGGACGATCCCTGTAGCTCTGCCGGTCTCGGCTCCGCTCAGTCGCCCGGGGAGTTCGTTTGCAAACGAAAAAATCCCCTAGGAAGGTCGGGGAGCCGGGCACCGCGCTGCCAGCCCGCCCGGGTGGGGCTGCTCCCCGCATCCCGCTTCTAGTCGGGTTCCTGGGGCGGCGGGTTTCGTCCCTGGTCGGCCCCTCGCAGGTCTCGTCCCCACGCCGAAGCCCTCCGAAGGAACTGCGGCTTCTCCGCCTCTCTCTGCCGGGGAAAGGCCCGGGCTTCGCGGGGCCAGTGCGTTCCAGCCGAGCCGGGCCGGGCGCGCTGACCCTGGCCCCGGCTCCCAGACCAGACGCGGGCACTCGGGTCACATTTATTTTTGGTGCAGCGAAGTTTTTTCCCCCGCAGGGAGGTGGTTGCGAGGGGAGGAAGGATCGGGCAATAGCTATACAACGACCTCCAGAGATGGGCTCGGTGGAGGAGCTTCTTTCCGGCCCCGCAGTGCCCCCCCCGTCCTCCAGCGCCCCCTCTCCATCACAGATGGGAGCCGGCGGGCCCCCAGCTCGGGGTGGTTGTTTTCCAAGGGGAGCAACGCAGAGCAGCGCCCGGCGGCGGCGGGGTCAGGGGGTACCTGTAGGTACATTTTACAGCAGTTTCGGTAGAGAAGACTAGGACAAGGACCTCGGATCCCGCCGTGGCTCTCCCTCCTCCGGGCTTCACGGCGGGTCCCACTGGGCACTCTCCGCCTCTCGGCACCCGGAGCCCAAAACTTGGGTGGGGGTTGCTTAAAGACAAAAATAACTGTTATTTCCTAGGTTCCCGGCTCTCCCTCCCGGCTTTTGCGAGATGCTGTGCCAGGACTAGCTGTCACCTCGAGGGCACAGAGTTTTGCTCCTCTCCACGCTGCTAATAGGGAACAGTAACGTGTTTAGACCACTTAAACTAGGCAGACATAGCTGGGAGCCATGCACGGCTCAGCTATGCCGGGAAAGGAGGTGTCATTTGTACGCAGTTACTTTGGTGATCAACACTTGAATGATATATGCCGCCTGCTTTAATTATATTCCTGTGACATTTTCCTGGACAGGAGCGGGCCGCACACAGCCAGAGCCGGGCAGCCCCGGGAGTGCCCTGCTGCTGGCCGCCGGGCCTGGGACTGTTCTGGGGAGGGCATGCACGCCGACCCCCCGAAATACGACTCTGAGGACGGAGAGGGGATACGCCTCCAAAGATGCTATCCATAGCCACAGATTTATTTTTTTGTTGTTTCCCCACTCACAAATAGTTTCGGATTCAGCGGCAGTTTTCTGCTCCGTGGAGGAGGAAGGGCCGCAGCTTTACTGGTTTTTCTTCCACAGAAAAAGGCAGGGACCAGGACGGACGCTTCTCCGACGGTTTCGGGGGACCCCGTTATCCATCCCCCGGTACACTAAGGGCCACTGTTCCTTCCAGCTCTGCTCGCCTCCCTGCCTCTCGGCCAGGGACCCCACTCAAACTTCTCGTACCTGCACCAGGAATAGATCAGTGACAGGTCCCACTCAGAGCGGTTGAAGCAGGCAGAAGTGGGGAGATTGGAGCGCATCGGATGAGGGTGCTTTTCCCCAAACGACCTCAAAACTGGGACACACGACTACCAGCTGCCTTCCGGCGGGCCGGGCAGAAGAGCCCGGCAGGATGTGAAGCTCCGTGGCGGTGGCTGGAGCAGGCCCCCGACTGTCCTCTGTGCCCCTTTGCTCCCCGCGGCCCTCTGAGGACAGGGAGGTGCAATGGGACATGCTGGGGAGAGTAGGGGGGGCACTGAGGGTCTCTAACTCGGGGTTGAGTGCCAAGAGGGCTGCCGAAAAGAAAATTAAAATAATTAAATTCCAAGGGATGAGGGGAGATGCTGAGCTCTCCCGCTAAGCCAGGGTGGGGGCAGCCCAGCTTGCCCCTCCTCTGATTTTCAGCCACCCCGGGGCGCAGAGAGGGAGTCGTTAGCAAGGAGTGAGATGCAGTGGTTGTAAAGGCAAAGTGAGCGCAGGGAAAACGAACCCAAATCCCCCAAAGACGCCACCGGGCAGCCGAGAGCACAGAGGAGAGGGGAGTGGGTCGGAGGCCGTCGGGACAGCCACTGAGCGCCGTGGGGTTCGGGGGAAGGAGGGCCGGGACCTGCCCCCTTCCCTCTCAGCCACCCCTTTTCTCAGTGAGGTGCTGGCCGAGGGGGACGCTGGGTACAATGGCAAGCGGCAGGCCTGGAGCCATCGGGCTGAGCTCATGCAAAGCATGAACCCGGCTATCCCCTGACAGGCAGCGGCCGAGGCAAACGAAGAGGAATCCCTCTGTGCCGGAGAGTCTGTACTGAGGCTGCTGTCCGCCTTCGACTGGGCTCTGCCCCTATTAGGGAGCCAAAAAATAAAAAATAAAAAAAAACCAAACCAGGGTGCATTTAAAGTCCTGTCCTGCCGCCTAGGCAAAGAGGGGAGATGCGGGCTGGAGGGACAACAGAGGATTGAAAACGATTTTCAGGGTTTCGCTGTGTCTGGCGCACTTTTGCCCGTGCCCTGAGTGGAACGGGCTGTACTCGAGATGGGGGCGCAAGTTATGCCCGGGTCTCCGCTCCGCGGGGAAGGCTGCAGCCGCTAACAGGCAGGGCCTCCGAGCATCCCATACGCCGTCCAGCCCACCCAAACTCGCATCCAGGAATGAGACTCTTTTTCTTTCGGTTTCCCCTCTTTTTTTTATTTTTTAAAGTCTTATTTCTGTAGTTACAACACCAGCATTCCCGTCCGAGTTCTCAATAAAACCCGAATCCTGACATAAAACGCCACGCTAGAAAATAATGTGAGGGGACACAAGGGAGAGGAGAAAGTCTCTAATTCGTTAAAATATGTTTAAATCACTTCATAAAACCCAAGCAAAGCGAAGCAAATAATCCACCTAGCAAAGCAAAGAAGCTAGGCGATTTAGAATCAGTGTAATTCGCTCCCCCCCCCCCCCCCCGCCCCCCCCCCCCCCCAGTTCCTCGCAGTATTTGATATGATGAATAACCCAATATAGGCCTTTAAAAATAGGTCACTGCATAAAGAGACTCCCAGAGAGCTATAAAAAATGGGAAGAGGGCGCTTTAAGGAGAGGAACCATTTGCTTCTTTTGTGCTTGTTTGGTACCTAGCGGCCTGCGAGCTGCCAGCCGTCCTCCTCCTGGCCCTCAAGGTGAGGAGGGAAAGTTGTGGCCGGATCCGGCCCCAACCTCTCCTCCCGCTCCACTGCCCCTCCAGCCACCGCCCGCCCCGTCCAGCCCCGGCCCGGCCCGCGGGTCGCGTCCCGGCCGCCCCACGGGGACCGAGGGGTACTCACGCCTGAGGTGGGGGGCAGGCTGCTCACTCCCAGCTCTGGGCTTTGTCTCTGTCCCTGTGGAACGGCGAGGCACAGGCGGGATGGTGGCCCGGGTGAAAATACTGAGGAGCGGGTCTGTCCCTGCCGCGCCGGGCCGGGTGTCCCGGGAGTGGGGGGCACAGCAAGCCCCGCGCGGCTGCCCCTCTCCAGAGCCGCCCGTGGGCTCGCAGCAAAAGGCCTCGGACTGGAAACCGGCCATTCCCGGCCCTTTCCCCCCGCACTGCCCCCGGCCAGGACTACCCGCCATCCCCGGCGCCAACAGAGCCCAAGAAGCCGCCGACGTCCCGGGAACGAACCCGACCCGCGACCCGCCGCGCAACCCCTCCGCGGGCACCCTCGGCACCGGCACCCTCCCGGAGGGGCCTGCTCCCGCCCCGGACCCCGCAGCCCGCTAAAACACAGGGCGCTGGGAAAGAGGAGCACGACAAAATTCGGCGGAAACCTTCGGATTTTATTGGAAAGGAAAGGTCTGCCTTACCTGGAACCAGGCTCTCCCCTTCTTCCCCTCATTTAAAAAAAAAAAAAAAAAAAAAAAAAAAATCAAACGGCTCTGCGTAGAGCGGAGAGAGACATTTTAAATAACCTGGTAGCCGAAATTAACAGGAGGAAGAAATGGAAGAAAAAAACAAAAAATCTCGCGGGGAAGAAAAAAAAATATATAGCCGGATATTTTTCGTTTTGGTTTGTTTTCCCTTATTATTTTTCACTATACTGTATTATCCTGATGCAATAAAGGTTGGTTTGTAATGTAATTTAAAAATATATATGTCCAAACAAATAGCAGGGCCAGAATATGACAAGTGCATTCAGCATTATAATTCAACTGGGCTCCACCTCCATACCGCCTCCTAATTAATGGGTCTCCGAACTTGCAAAAGCCTGCATTGGACAGAGAGAGAGAGAGAGAGAGAGCGAGAGAGAGAGAGAGAGGGCGAAAAGTGTCATTGAAGATAATTGATTACCTCCCAATCAACAATAACTTGTTAGCAATAGTCAATTACCCCATCTCTTCTTGCTTCTTTCCCCCTGGTCCGAGGTCTCGGTGCGAGGGCTGCTCTCCCCCTCGCCGAAGTCTGCTTTTTATTTTTCTTCTTTTTTTTTTTTTTTTTTTTTTTATTTTTTTTTTGGGGGGGGTTTTCAGGGGGGGGGGGGCAGGGAAAGTGCTGTGATTTGGGGTGTTTCTTAAAATAGCAGCAAGGAAGAGAAAGAGAGAGGAGAGAGAGAGAGAGAGAGAGAGAGAGAGAGTGAAGGGAGAGAGGGGGGGAAAAATCTCCGACCCAAAACCCTGGGACAAGAGGTACGGCAGGACCACCTCTCGGCGAGGGACCGACGGCAGCTCTGCTCCTCTCCGCGCCCGCCCGCCCGCCGCCCGGCCCGCCCGGCCCGCCGCCCGACGTGGCTCTCCCCGGGAGGACCCGGGGCTCCTCCGCCGGAGTTGGAGGTGGGCTTCAACTTTTGCTCGCTGCCTTCGCCGCCGTCACCCCGCGGTCCCGCCAGGGACTTCTGCCCGCGGCAGCGCATCCCCGTCGCGGGTGGGGAAGGCAGCCTCGCGCGGCCCGGCCCCACCATGACTTCCAAAGAAGAACCCAAGCCCTCCTCGGGGGAAGAACGGCGGCGGAGCCCCTTGGATCACCTCCCACCGCCGGCCAACTCCAACAAGCCCCTCACCCCCTTCAGCATCGAGGACATCCTCAACAAGCCCTCGGTGCGGAGGAGTTACACCCTCTGCGGAACGGCACACCTCCTGTCCGCTGCCGAGAAGCACCCCCCGGCCGGGCTGCCCCTCTCCGGCCGGGCGCTGCTTTCCCAGACCTCGCCCCTCTGCGCCCTGGAAGAGCTGGCCAGCAAGACCTTCAAAGGGCTGGAAGTCAGCGTGCTGCAGGCGGCCGAAGGTAAGACCCCCTTGGAGTGGGGGGATCCTCCAGCGGGTGGGTGCCCCGCTCCTCCCCACGGCCTGGTTTTCCTTCTCACCTCCCCCACCCCCCCACCATCTCCCGGGGTGTCGCATGGGATGGGATGAGGGGGGTCCCTGGGCGGCCGGTACCCGGCGGCATCCTCGCCCCGCGGCCCTCGGGGTGCAGGAGCGGCTGCTCTGCCCCACTCCCTCCAGATACGGACGGGGCAGGGGTGTGGGGGCCGGGGGCTCGGGTCGGGGTGGACATGTGGAAAGCGGGTACAATCTGGCGGCTCGTCGGCAGGCCGGGACGGGATGACGATCTTCGGGCAGCGGCAAACGCCGAAGAAGCGTCGGAAGTCGCGGACGGCCTTCACCAACCATCAGATCTACGAGCTGGAGAAGCGGTTCCTCTACCAAAAATACCTGTCGCCGGCGGACCGGGACCAGATCGCCCAGCAGCTGGGGCTCACCAACGCCCAGGTCATCACCTGGTTCCAGAACCGCCGCGCCAAGCTCAAGAGAGACCTGGAGGAGATGAAGGCCGACGTGGAATCGGCCAAAAAGCTGGGCCCTAACCCCGCCGTGGACATCGTGGCCTTGGCTGAGCTGGAGCCCAGCGCCGAGGGAAGGGGCAAGGCGCGGCCCGGGTCCCCGCCGCCGCCCCCCGCCGCCGCCCGGGAGCCCGGTGCCCCGCCACCGCCCCGCCCCGCCTCGCCCCCCACGGAGCGGCCCCGCAGCCGCCGGGACAGCGAGGAGGAGGAGGAGGAGGAGGAGGAGGACGTGGAGATCGACGTGGATGACTGAGGGGCGGCCGGTGGCCCCCCCCCCCCCCCCCAACCCCCCCCCCCCCCCATCCCGACAGCTCCAAACCGGCACCCTCGGCCCCCCATCCCGGCCCCGGCAGCACGGCGGGGCGGCTGCTCCCCTCGGTCGGAGCAATAAGCAATAGAACCCCACCACAGACACACACACACATCCCGATTAATTTAGGGTAGAGTCGATATCCCTCCGCCTGCCACATCTTCGGAACGGTGCAATTACGGACGGCTTCTGTATAAATATTTAAACGTATATATTGGATTTTTTTCCTTCCCCATTCTTTTTGAGGTTTTGATTATTATTTTTTTAATAGCTATCAATGATGATTATTTTATCTAAAAGGGAGAGGCATAACCTTGGAATAAACTCGGCTTCCAGCAGATGTTTGGGAAAGCGGTTGTTTTCAAAGACTTCCGAAGCGAACCACTTTAGAGAAGATTTAAGTTAGGCTTAAAATGGCAACAGCAAAGAATTAGCCAGTTTCCTTTCCTTGCATGTTTCGAATGTGCACGAACTAATTTTTTTTTTCCTTTAAAAATATTTTTTCTTCTGCAATCTGGGGAACTTGGGGCTGGGTTATAATGCAAGTTGAAAAATATATACTTTCTTTTTTTTCTAGAGCATAGAGATTTGTCTCCAATGCAATTTCTGCCTCATTTTACCAATTAAAAGCTATTTTTACCATTTTCTGCTATGTTTGTGCTTTTATTAAAAGCTGCCTTTCGTATTTTTGATATGAAGGTGGTAACAAAAAAAAAAGGAAAATGAAAAAAAAATCCTAGAATTATTTTTTACTCTTTTTAGAATTTTTGCATGCTATGGAAATAAAAAAGGACAAATCCCAAGATCACTACATTTAAATATTACACTATAAATTAATAAAAATGTACAGATTTAAGACTTGTTTTTGTTTGAATTGTACAAATTTTAAAAGGCCTGCTATTTAAGTTCCGATAGGGACAATGTCGCTTTATTTACTGTCTCTTAGAATTGTACAGATAGCTCTTTTTTCCGATACAATAAAATCTTTACCATTTTAATATACTTTTTGACGTCCTTCTTTGTGACCGAAAAAACACTCCGTCGGTCCGAGGTTACGCCAGACTTTTCTACCACAGAGATCTCCCATCCCGTTTGCATTTAAAGTTACTTTATGGTCAGTATCTGCAAGAAAAATGACGGGAAAAGAACACACGAGAGAGACCTTTATTATTATAATTTCTTTTTTTTAAGGCTCATACCAGGTAAAGCTTAGCAGAGGGGGAAGGCGACAGATCGATAAGGCAATAGGTGCAAGCAGCGCTTCCCGGGCGCGGGGGATGCGCAGCGGCAGCGGGAGAACGGCGGGGCGAGCAGGACCACCGGCACCCCCCACCCGCCCCGCCGCTCCCGACGGCAACAGGGCATTTCCAGCCCGAAACTGGAGAGGAAAAGAAGGGGGGGAGGAAAAAATAATGGAAATAAATAAAAAAAAAAAATCTGAGCTGCGGGAAGGAGTTATCACCGACTTGGACAAAAGAAGCGGGGGGAGCTGCTGTACACCCGGCGGGCCAGGCCTCCCGCTTCTGGGCAAAAGCTGCCATAGGGACACGAGGATGGAAAAACGTTTCGTTTCCTTCTTTCTTTTCTTTTCTTTTCTTTTCTTTTCTTTTCTTTTCTTTTCTTTTCTTTTCTTTTCTTTTCTTTTCTTTTCTTTTCTTTTCTTTTCTTTTCTTTTCTTTTCTTTTCTTTTCTTTTCTTTTCTTTTCTTTTCTTTTCTTTTCTTTTCTTTTCTTTTCTTTTCTTTTCTTTTCTTT